TCCCTGAACTTGGCCAAGTTTTGAGCCTCTGAAAATCTTAATTTGCACATGTTCAGTAGAGACCTTTTAGAGTTTGGCAGCTAAATTCTCTGAAGATTCTATTTGTATGGGGCATAATCCAAACAGGGATGAACAGGAATTTCCTTGCAATATAAGAATATAAGAATGGCCATACTGGGTCAGACCAATGGTCCATTTAGCTCAGTATCCTGTCTTCTGACAGTGGCCAATGGCAGGTGCCCCAGAGAGAATGAACAGAACAAGTAATCCTCAAGTGATCCATCCTCTGTCACCCTTTCCCCGCTTCTGGCAAACAGAGGCTAGGGACACTTCTGAGCATGGTTTTGCATCCCTGCCCATCCTGGCTAATAGCTATTGATGGACCCATCCTCCATGAACTTATCTAGTTATTTTTTGAAACCTGCTATAGTCTTGGCCTTCACAACATCCTCTGACAAAGAGTTCCACAGGTTGACTGTACTGTGTAAAGAAATACTTCCTTTTGTTCGTTTTAAACCTGCGGCCTATTAATTTCATTTGGTGATCCCTAGGTCTTGTGTTATGAGAAGGAGTAAATAACACTTCCTTATTTACTGTCTCCACACCAGTCATGATTTTATAGACCTCTATCATATCCCTTCTTAGTTGTCTCATTTTTAAGCTGAAAAGTCCCAGTCTTATTAATCTCTCCTCATATGAAAGCTGTTCCATGCCCCTAATCATTTTTGTGCCCTTTTCTGTACCTTTACTAATTTCAATATATCTTTTTTGAAATGCGGCAACCAGATCTGCACACAGTATTCAAGATGTGGGCATACTATGGATTTATATATAGGCAATATGATACTTTGTCTTATTATCTATCCCTTTCCTAATTATTCCCAACATTTTGTTAGTTTTTTTGACTGCTGCACATTGACTGAATGTTTTCAGAGAACTATTCACAATACCAGGGGCTTCTTGGGGCATCAAGCACAGGAAGTGAAAGCAGGAAGGCTGTCTGTCCTGTGTTCTAACTGCTGGAGCCTAGGCAGCAAGGAGGAGGAGGACTGGAATGTAGAGGAGGAGGTAAACTGGGGCATGGTGCCATGGTGGAGACTTAGGCGGGGATAGGTAGAGGGGGAAGTGGGATGAGAAACCAGGGAGGGACTGAAACTGTGAACCAAGAGGCAGCAGTTGGGAGAAGAATGGGACCCTAAACCAGGGAACCGGGACACAGAATCAAGGGGGCTGGTGGAAGGGGAATGAGACTTAGATGAGGAGCCAAAGTGCGGTGGGGGTGGAGGACAAAGACTGGGACAAAAACATAATGGAAGGCCAAGGACGAAGAGCCTACAACTCTTAAAGTATGCTGCCCTCAAACTCTTGAACAGAACAAGGCTCCTTAAATGTCAGCATTCCTCTGCTGTCAATAAATACCTGTGAAATCCACTGGCAAACGTGTGCCTCATCTAACTAGTGCTTGACCCACATAAAACAATGACAACCTACTACTTCTACCAGTTACTCTGTTAGATTAAGCAGCAGAGATTTCTTTAGATCTAAAGGTTCCAAGCCTGCTGATGGACCAAGTGGGTGTAAATATGGTGCTAACATGATAGAATTTCTGTTTTTTCAGGGGTTTTTTTAAACCTAGGAAATTACATACAAAAACTGCATTAAAAGAATGTTAAGGTTGTGAAGTTAAGCACCCAACAGCAAAGCAATGACAAAATTAAGGTAACCTTAAAATCTTAATTTGGCTGCTTTGTGCATATGCATTATGATACAGTCTTTAATTACATTTTCACATTTTTTTTTAAAGCGGCCCCTTCATTCAGTGCACAGGATGAATGGTGCTCACTGAAGGAGCAGCTATGCAATATTTCATTTTCTCATCATTCAGTTTGTGGCTCCATTCTGCATTATTGCACATCATTCAAGCCCTGTTATGAGTACAAAGAAAAGGAGTACTTGTGGCACCTTAGAGACTAACCAATTTATTTGAGCATGAGCTTTCGTGAGCTACAGCTCACTTCATCGGATGCATACCGTGGAAACTGCAGCAGACTTTATATACACACAGAGAATATGAAACAATACCTCTTCCCACCCCACTGTCCTGCTGGTAATAGCTTATCTAAAGTGATCATCAGGTTGGGCCATCACATCCGATGAAGTGAGCTGTAGCTCACGAAAGCTCATGCTCAAATAAATTGGTTAGTCTCTAAGGGTATGTCTACACTACGGAATAAGGTCGAATTTATAGAAGTCGGTTTTTTGGAAATCGGTTTTATAAATTCGAGTGTGTGTGTCCCCACAGAAAATGCTCTAAGTGCATTAAGTGCATTAACTCGGCGGAGCGCTTCCACAGTACCGAGGCAAGCGTCGACTTCCGGAGCGTTGCACTGTGGGTAGCTATCCCACAGTTCCCGCAGTCTCCGCTGCCCATTGGAATTCTGGGTTGAGATCCCAATGCCTGATGGGGCTAAAACATTGTCGCGGGTGGTTCTGGGTACATATCGTCAGCCCCCCGTTCCCTCCCTCCCCCCGTGAAAGCAAGGGCAGACAATCATTTCGCGCCTTTTTTCCTGAGTTACCTGTGCAGACGCCATACCACAGCAAGCATGGAGCCCGCTCAGGTAACCGTCACCCTATGTCTCCTGGGTGCTGGCAGACGCGGTACGGCTTTGCTGCACAGTAGCAGCAACCCCTTGCCTTCTGGCAGCAGACGGTGCAATACGATTGGTAGTCGTCCTCATCGTGTCCGAGGTGCTCCTGGCCGCGTCGGCTGGGAGCGCCTGGGCAGACATGGGCGCAGGGACTAAATTTGGAGTGACTTGACCAGGTCATTCTCTTTAGTCCTGCAGTCAGTCCTATTGAACCGTCTTATGGTGAGCGGGCAGGCGATACGGACTGCTAGCAGTCGTACTGTACCATCTTCTGCCAGGCAGGCAAGAGATGAGGATTGCTAGCAGTCGTATTGCACCATCTTCTGCCAGGCAGGCAAGAGATGGGGATGGCTAGCAGTCGTACTGTACCATCTTCTGCCGAGCAGCCATGAGATGTGGATGGCATGCAGTCCTTCTGCACCGTCTGCTGCCAGCCAAAGATGTAAAAGATAGATGGAGTGGGTCAAAACAAGAAATAGACCAGATTTGTTTTGTACTCATTTGCCTCCTCCCCTGTCTAGGGGACTCATTCCTCTAGGTCACACTGCAGTCACTCACAGAGAAGGTGCAGCGAGGTAAATCTAGCCATGTATCAATCAGAGGCCAGGCTAACCTCCTTGTTCCAATAACAACGATAACTTAGGTGTACCATTTCTTATTGGAACCCTCCGTGCAGTCCTGCCTGAAATACTCCTTGATGTACAGGCACCCCCTTTGTTGATTTTAGCTCCCTGAAGCCAACCCTGTAAGCCGTGTCGTCAGTCGCCCCTCCCTCCGTCAGAGCAACGGCAGACAATCGTTCCGCGCCTTTTTTCTGTGCGGACGCCATACCACGGCAAGCATGGAGCCCGCTCAGCTCACTTTGGCAATTAGGAGCACATTAACCACCACACGCATTATTCAGCAGTATATGCAGCACCAGAACATGGCAACGCGATACCGGGCGAGGAGGCGACGTCAGCGCGGTCCCGTGAGTGATCAGGACATGGACACAGATTTCTCTGAAAGCATGGGCCCTGCCAATGCATGCATCATGGTGCTAATGGGGCAGGTTCATGCTGTGGAACGCCGATTCTGGGCTCGGGAAACAAGCACAGACTGGTGGGACCGCATAGTGTTGCAGGTCTGGGACGATTCCCAGTGGCTACGAAACTTTCTCATGCGTAAGGGCACTTTCATGGAACTTTGTGACTTGCTTTCCCCTGCCCTGAAGCGCATGAATACCAAGATGAGAGCAGCCCTCACAGTTGAGAAGCGAGTGGCGATAGCCCTGTGGAAGCTTGCAACGCCAGACAGCTACCGGTCAGTTGGGAATCAATTTGGAGTGGGCAAATCTACTGTGGGGGCTGCTGTGATGCAAGTAGCCCACGCAATCAAAGATCTGCTGATATCAAGGGTAGTGACCCTGGGAAATGTGCAGGTCATAGTGGATGGCTTTGCTGCAATGGGATTCCCTAACTGTGGTGGGGCTATAGATGGAACCCATATCCCTATCTTGGCACCGGAGCACCAAGCCGCCGAGTACATAAACCGCAAGGGGTACTTTTCGATAGTGCTGCAAGCTCTGGTGGATCACAAAGGACGTTTCACCAACATCAACGTGGGATGGCCGGGAAAGGTGCATGATGCTCGCATCTTCAGGAACTCTGGTCTGTTTCAAAAGCTGCAGGAAGGGACTTTATTCCCAGACCAGAAAATAACTGTTGGGGATGTTGAAATGCCTATATGTATCCTTGGGGACCCAGCCTACCCCTTAATGCCATGGCTCATGAAGCCGTACACAGGCAGCCTGGACAGTGGTCAGGAGCTGTTCAACTACAGGCTGAGCAAGTGCAGAATGGTGGTAGAATGTGCATTTGGACGTTTAAAGGCATGCTGGCGCAGTTTATTGACTCGCTTAGACCTCAGCGAAACCAATATTCCCACTGTTATTACTGCTTGCTGTGTGCTCCACAATATCTGTGAGAGTAAGGGGGAGACGTTTATGGCGGGGTGGAAGGTTGAGGCAAATCGCCTGGCTGCTGGTTACGCGCAGCCAGACACCAGGGCAGTTAGAAGAGCACAGGAGGGCGCGGTACGCATCAGAGAAGCTTTGAAAACCAGTTTCATGACTGGCCAGGCTACGGTGTGAAAGTTCTGTTTGTTTCTCCTTGATGAACCCCCCCACCCCTTGGTTCACTCTACTTCCCTGTAAGCTAACCACCCTCCCCTCCTCCCTTTAATCATTGCTTGCAGAGCCAATAAAGTCATTGCTGCTTCACAGTCATGCATTCGTTATTCATTCATCACACAAATAGGGGGATGACTACCAAGGTATCCCAGGAGGGGTGGTGGAGGAGGGAAGGAAAATGCCACACAGCACTTTAAGCACAGCACTTTAAAAGTTTACAACTTTAAAATTTATTGAATGACAGCCTTCTTTTTTTTGGGCAATCCTCTGTGGTGGAGTGGCTGGTTGGCCGGAGGCCCCCTCACCGCGTTCTTGGGCGTCTGGGTGTGGAGGCTATGGAACTTGGGGAGGAGGGCGGTTGGTTACAGAGGGGCTGCAGTGGCAGTCTGTGCTCCAGCTGCCTTTGCTGCAGCTCAACCATACACTGGAGCATACTGGTTTGGTCCTGCAGCAGCCTCAGCATTGAATCCTGCCTCCTCTCATCACGCTGCCGCCACCTTTGAGCTTCAGCCCTGTCTTCAGCCCGCCACTTACTCTCTTCAGCCCTCCACCTCTCCTCCCGGTCATTTTGTGCTTTCCTGCACTCTGACATTATTTGCCTCCACGCATTCGTCTGTGCTCTGTCAGTGTGGGAGGACAGCATGAGCTCGGAGAACATTTCATCGCGAGTGCGTTTTTTTTTTCTTTCTAAGCTTCACTAGCCTCTGGGAAGGAGAAGATCCTGTGATCATTGAAACACATGCAGCTGGTGGAGAAAAAAAAAGGGACAGCGGTATTTAAAAAGACACATTTTATAAAACAGTGGCTACACTCTTTCAGGGTAAACCTTGCTGTTAACATTACATACATAGCACATGTGCTTTCGTTACAAGGTCGCATTTTGCCTCCTCCCACCGCGTGAACGGATTTTGGTTGAATGCCAGCAAACATACACTGCAATGCTTTGTTCTACAGTGATTCCCCAGTACGTGTTGCTGGCCTGGAGTGGTAAAGTGTCCTACCATGAAGGACGAAATAAGGCTGCCCTCCCCAGAAACCTTTTGCAAAGGCAGAACCGCAAATGCCAGGGCAAAGTAATCCTTTCACATGCTTGCTTTTAAACCATGTATAGCATTTTAAAAGGTACACTCACCAGAGGTCCCTTCTCCGCCTGCTGAGTCCAGGAGGCAGCCTTGGGTGGGTTCGGGGGGTACTGGCTCCAGGTCTAGGGTGAGAAACAGTTCCTGGCTGTCGGGAAAACCGGTTTCTCCGCTTGCTTGCTGTGAGCTATCTACAACCTCCTCATCATCATCTTCTTCGTCCCCAAAACCTACTTCTGTATTGCCTCCATCTCCATTGAAGGAGTCAAACAACACGGCTGGGGTAGTGGTGGCTGAACCCCCTAAAATGGCATGCAGCTCATCATAGAAGCGGCATGTTTGGGGCTCTGACCCAGAGCGGCTGTTCGCCTCTCTGGTTTTCTGGTAGGCTTGCCTCAGCTCCTTCAGTTTCACGCGGCACTGCTTCGGGTCCCTGTTATGGCCTCTGTCCTTCATGCCCTGGGAGATTTTCACAAAGGTTTTGGCATTTCGAAAACTGGAACGGAGTTCTGATAGCACGGATTCCTCTCCCCAAACAGCGATCAGATCCCGTACCTCCCGTTCAGTCCATGCTTGAGCTCTTTTGCGATTCTGGGACTCCATCATGGTCACCTCTGCTGATGAGCTCTGCATGGTCACCTGCAGCTTGCCACGCTGGCCAAACAGGAAATGAGATTCAAAAGTTCGCGGTTCTTTTCCTGTCTACCTGGCCAGTGCATCTGAGTTGAGAGCGCTGTCCAGAGCGGTCATAATGGAGCACTCTGGGATAGCTCCCGGAGGCCAATACCATCGAATTGTGTCCACAGTACCCCAAATTCGAGCCGGCAACGTCGATTTAAGCGCTAATCCACTTGTCAGGGGTGGAGTAAGGAAATCGATTTTAAGAGCCCTTTAAGTCGAAATAAAGGGCTTCATTGTGTGGACGGGTGCAGGTTTAAATCGATTTAACGCTGCTAAATTCGACCTAAAGTCCTAGTGTAGACCAGGGCTAAGGTGCCACAAGTACTCCTTTTCTTTTTGCGAATACAGACTAACACGGCTGTTACTCTGAAACCTGTTATGAGTACAGAATTATTAAGTTTCTCAGGGACTGTTCTATGGCACTCGTTACTGTAGCATTTGAGTGTTTCACAAACATTAATTAATTTATATTAACGCCCCTGTGAGGTAAGATGTTATTATTCCCATTTTGCAGAGAAGAGCAACAAAAATGATTAAAGGTCTAGAAAAAATGACCTATGAGGAAAGATTGAAAAAATTGGGTTTGTTTAGTCTGAAGAAAGAATACTGGGTGGGGGACAGGACGTACGTACGTCATAACAGTTTTCAAGTACATAAAAGGTTATTACAAGGAGGAGGGTGAAAACTGTTCTCTGAAGATAGGACAAGAAACAATGGACTTAAATTGCAGCAAGAGAAGGTTAGGTTGGACATTAGGAAAAACTTCCTAACTGTCAGGATCAATGTTCCCTCAAATTTTTGACAGGCCATTTGCGTAAAAAATTTCTTCTGTGCAAATTTTTGTGCGCACGGTGTTTCACCGTGTGCATGGGGTTTAGAATCTGTGTGTGTGCACGTACACACACACAGCTTAGAGGGAACAGTGGTCAGGATAGTTAAGCACTGAAACAAATTGCCTAGGGAGGCTGGGGAATCTCTATCGGTGGAGATTTTTAAACACAGGTTAGACAAACACCTGTCAGGAATGGTTTAGTTATTATTTAGACCTGCCTTGAGTGCAGGGGAGTAGACTAGATGACCTATTGAGGTCTCTTTCAGTCCTACACTTCTATGATGCTATTATTCGAATTCTGTCATTTCCTAACGTTTAGTGTTTGACTCTGCAACCTTAATGTTTAATTAATATAGTTTTTTTTAATGTAATATACAATGACACTGGTGGGATTATTAATTCTAAAGATTACAGGACGAGAGGAACCAGTATCTTGATAATTTATATAGTTTTTGTGTGTTCTAAGTCTCACATTTTATTGGAAATACCAACAGATGAAGGCTAAATGCATCTTCCAATTTCATCAAATTTATTTTAAATGGAGATATTGTTTCTGATATTCTTCCATTTCTTCTTAATTGAATTTAAATTTGGCTATTAAGTAGAAGGTGAAGGAGGATTAATTTAGACATAGCTCCTAAATAAACATAAGGTTTTTTTATTGTCCAATCTCTCTTTTCCCCTTTTGGATATCAGATATTAACATGTGTTTTATAATCCAGACCAAAGTTGGAGAAATTCAAAGAGTATGCAGCTCTGTACTTTGTTCCAGTTTTCCATCTGTTACAAATCTTTCTGTGGTGAGCACCCCCTTTAGGCTACATGGGGAGTGCACACACACAAGTCAATTACTCCACCCCCATCCCAACAGGTGTCGCAGGTCATCTTTTTAGCATGTCAGCACTCACCTTCTTACTGGGGCCTTGAGACTGTCTGATCCCTTCTCTGTGTCCCGAGTGATGCCACTAAACAGCCCATAGCCAGCAAAAGGAGTTAAACAAGAGAAAGGTAAAGCAGCTCCCTCCAGCATATGGACCTCCCTTACTGATACTCCAAGGGCCCCTCTGAAGTATCTACTTTAGAGTTCACTGGGCTCCAGTTCTTTTCTCCTTCAACTCAGGATTTCTGCACCCTCCTTCCTGGAGGGCAGGGGCCCTGCAAGCTGTCAGTCCCCTCTCCTGGGCTGGAAAAGCTCAACAGTCTGTTCCCATTCCAGGGTTCCCCATCTGAGTGGAATTATCTCTTTTTAACTCCTCCTCCAGTCCTGGCACCATTTGCAGGTGTGACAGGGCAGGGCTACTCCAGCCCAAAGTAGCTCCTTATCCTCTTCCATGCTAGTGCAGGTTTAAATACCCCATCACAGCATCTTAAATAAAACCACTATGAAAATACAATTTGTATTTGTTTGGGAAACTGGCCATTTCTTATTGGTAAATAATTTCAGAAACTAGAACATATTTATAAGCAAAAAATTATTCAGTTTTTGCAAACATTTGCAATATTAACATGTGAACACAAGATGGCTCTCCTGTAATATGTTAAAATATAAAATCCTCATTAGATATTGTGTGCATGCCTCTTTTAAAAAACTCATACTGTTTAGAAACTACACACAGAAAACTATATTAAAAGAATATTAAGGTTGCAAAACCAAGCACTCAGAAGTCAGGAAATGCTAGAATAAAGGTTGCCTGTGTCTGAGGCCATCCTTTCTTTTCCTGCAATCCTCTGTCATTCGCAGTATATCTTCCAACATCTGCAACAAATAAGGCAGGGGGTCCAACAGACCAAAACCTCATTCACTGTACAATCCTGATACAACTCCAGAGCATCATCCATCCTTTGCACTGAATGAAGTAGGGGTCGTGTGGAAACAAATAGTATGTGATCATGAAATCAAAGACTTTAACAACGATGTACACAAGGAGCTAGATTAAGCTTCCAGTTTCCTCTCCCAGTCTTCCCCTAGGCTCCTTCACCCAATCTATTCCCTCCGTTACACCTCTGAATTTCCAGCCCCTGCATTTCAGTAGGCTACTTCATCCTCCTCTTCACACTGCTTGGCAGCCAGTACGGGGAGCATAGAGAGCACAGGAAAGACAGCTAATCTCCTTGCTCTCATTTCTTGTGCCCATTACCACAGCATCCTCAGAAGCCAGAAGCAGCAATTGCAGGAAAAGTCCTGTTCAGCGCCTACAGTACCAGACTCGAATATGCTCTGTACAGAAGGACTCTTCAGAAAAATTACCTGTCAAACTTCCAAGTCTCTACTGAGATTTGTCTCTACTGTGAACTGAGATTTTCAGAGGCTCATAATTTGGCCAAATTTTGGAGAATTTTCAAAGAGACAACAAAAGGCACACCTCTGATGCTAAAGGATACCCCCCACTGCCAAATTTGAAGTGCCTGCTCCAAAGCATGGAGACGACAAAGCTTTTCACCAAAAAAGGTGGTAAGATTTTTTTTAATGTGTCTAAAGTTATGTGTTTTCCCCTCACCTTATTTTGAGAAGGAGCTCAACCATTTTTGCTGAAAATTTCTAAAAGAATTCAACCCGAGGCAGACACACTACGTGGAAAATTTCAACACACACAGTAAGTTTGGCAGAGCAAGTAAAAACAGGGTCTCATAATTAGTGTCAAGTGATCTTAACAATAGGTGGCGCTCTCAGCTCCACCTATAATTTACAGAACACAATTGCATTCTTTATTCAGGAATCATGTAATTCTTCTTTACTTACTTCCAATCCCAGTCCCTTAAATTGTGTCTTATTTGGGTGTCCTACAGACTTATTTTCAGAAATAATGTTTATTCATGCTAAAAAATAGATTACATACTGCATCTCAATGCTTTATGATTAGGACCCAAGGAAAACCAACTTTCTTCAAATATGACCCATAGAGGGAGAGCATCCACATCTTTACTCCTACCTCCATTTTCAGTGACTGGTTCTGCCTCTCCACTCAGAATGATGGAAACTTGTTGCCCATATACCATCCTTTAGGTTCAAGGTAGAGTCCTGCACAAGACTAGTGTAGAGCCCTCAGAGGGACTGGGATCCCATGGGTCCAGCAGGACTCTCTGTCATAATAGCAGGAGCGGGTGGAAGTAGGATTTTAAAAATCCCGTGCAGGGCTCTAGTCCAAGCACATTTTGAAAACCTTTGCTGCATACATCTTGTGGAAATTTTTATTATATTTTAATAATATTTTTCCAACACCCCTGGACGGCTCTTGTCTTCCTTTCATTTTGAATCCTTGGTGATATTCACAAATGAGGCAACCCAGTCAGTATACCCAGTTGGCAAGGCAGTGGAGAGAAACTAGCTGCAGACTGAACCAATGCTTGCTGCTCCACCCCTATTTGAGTGTAAACCACTTGTGATTAAGAATCCCCAATCCCAAGAATTATGCCTTAATGTGACCATGTCTGTAAGACATATCTTGACAAATTTTCCATATGGTTATACCTGTGTGATTGATTTAAAAAAAAAACAAAACACCTTGACAATTAACTGTGGGCCCACTGGGAGTTTTGCCTACATAAAAAAAGCAATATTGTGCTAAATGTTTGCTGCTTCACTAGTTATCAGGGGAGCAGCTAACGTCTGTTGTCTATACCCTTGATATCTTCCCCTTCTCCACTCTCACCATTACCAAATGTCTCTGAAAATCTCCTCTTGAACATCCCACCACCTTCTCAAACTTTTCCTAACCTGAAATTACCTTTCTTCCAGATCCTTCTCCTTTGCTACTGGCAACTCCATCGCCCCTCCAGTCTCCCAGGCTTGAAAGCTTGGAGTAATCTTCAACTCTTCTTTTTACTTCTTCCTCTGTATCCACCCACTTTCCAAATTCTGTCACCGCTTCTTTAACATTACCAAAATCTGACCTTTCCTGACTATCTGTACTGCTAAAACTCTCGTCCATGCCTTGGCTATTTCTCATGATTACTGTAATCGTCTCCCCTTGGCCTTCTACCTTTGATATTGAGTCTGTTATGAATTAATCAACATTCTTGTCTACCATACATTTAAATAGGACATCTGACTGGATTGGCTCCAAAGTCTTGTAGAAAATTGCTTTATTAATAGGATATCTTACATTCCTTACTAAGTTATTATTGTACATTTTATGATGGAAGATAGTGGAATTATTTTTTGAATTGTCAAATACAAGAACTGTATTTTTAAGCATTAAAATAATGCTTACCCTCTTTTATTGAGTCTTCCTTCGATTGGCTTAATGTTAATAACCTATTACATTTTTCCAGCTGAAGATCCAGAAGGCTATTCTTTCCATTAATTTCGCATATTTTCTTCAAAAAAATATTGAAATATCTGTAGGTTAATGCTAAATTAAATCCTTTTGTTCTAAATTTTCAATCTAAATCTCTGGTTTTTCAAGTGAAAGTTACAAAAACCAAACAAAAAACTAATCCCAAATCAAACCAAACAAAAAACCAACAACATTGAGCTGAGGTTTACAGAATAGTTCAGTGCCTCCCTCCCAGGTCTATTATACTGCCATT